CACATATACCATGTAATCCACACCCATGAAATATAACCATCATAAAAAAATATCTTTTTAATATCTATCTAACTAACTGCATCAGAAGTCAAGCCATATGAAAGTGTTAAATTGTCAAATTTAAAACCTTATAAAAAGGCAATAGAAGGTCTTATAAATATCTAGTAAAGTCACGCATGCGTATTTGAGTTCTCAAAATGCAATACGAACGGTCGAACTCGTAATACAGACGTTGAATTAACGTGGAATCAACTTCGATTTTATTTTGATAGTTTTAAACAAATTTTCAACGTTGATACAATATTGATTTTTGGTTATACGAAGTTGCGACTAAAAATCAACCGTAAATCAACGTTGAAATAATGTCGTGTGCCCACTGGGACCCTATTTCTTTGTTTGTTGTACATCGGCGTTGAATTATCAGATTTATCACTAGGTAATCTTTTCAAAATGTAGAGGGGAGCATAATTGCTTTTCGTTAGTGTTTAGTTATAAAAGGTTTATTATTACCTCAAAGTATTTTAAACTTAAGAGGGGCATAAAATTGCAGAATATTGCTGAATATCTCACTCAAAGTATTTATATTATAAAACGAACTTAGGTTTTTATGGAGTTTGTTAAAAATTTTTCGTTAAAAGTTTGTTAAACAATTTAAAGGGGAAATTAAGGCACAGTTGATTAAATTTCTTTATTTTTCAAATTGAGCAAAAGTTAAAATCTGTATTTTATTGTTATTAAGGCAAAAAGTTTGAAATATATGCCCTTCATGATAATAAATCACTAAAACAAATCACTAAAAAGATAAAAATATTTATTATCTAATGTCTCACAGAAAGGTTTAAAGTGAGATTTGTTGCTTTATTCACAGTGCCCAGTACTGGGGAACAATCAATTAATGAACACAGCTGTAAATTAATGATAGTAAATAGGGCATAGCCAAATTAGGTGATCTAAATTCACATGGGAATTTCTATCAAATAGAGTTCAGATATGCAATAAAGTTCATTGGTAATCTATCAGATCCTTGCGTATTCAAGTGGAAATCACATGTGTTCATTAACTGAACTTGAGTTATCAATACTATCATTATTAAATTTATCGTATTGTCGTAAATTGAGCTTAATCGAATCAACGAATTGGTGTAGATAAAATTATTAAACAAGATGAGTTCGATTTTAAAATAAAGAAAACAATTTATTTTTTCATCGTAGTTTCAGACAAATTGTTTATATAATTATTCATTCCAATGAGAATTCCAAAGAGAATAATAATTTTAGCAAGTTTTTTTTTTCAAAAGAGTAAATAGATTAAAATGTCTTTTATGGTAGCACCACTGAAGACTCTAACCTTAACTTTTCCAATCTTTAGAACACAATATTACAAATAAAGGTTTTAAAATTTTCACATTTTTCCAATTCGTTTTTGCAACGAGCATTTTGTTTTTTCCATTTAAAAGTTACGAAACTTTTTTTTTTTTTTGACTGAATTAAGTTGATTTTTTATATTTGTAAACTTGATTAAAAATTTATTTCATTATTAATAGAACGTTCGGAAATATTAGGATGACGTTATTAAAATGATCGTTACTTTTAACATCAATTGTATTATTAACATATTCTTTTTGAAGAATGGCATTCATAGTTTTGTCTTTACTTGAATTGATTAAATTTTGATTTAATTAAAACTTCTTAAAAATCATTAAAACTAATATCGTCAAAAAAGTTAAATCGATTTTAAATCAGACATCAACATTTGTTTGACATCAAACTTATTAACTAAGACAGCAATAGTTTTCCTTAATTTTAATAATGCACTTGACATAAGATTAATGACCTTTTCTCAAAAAGAGGCTTTCATAACGTTTGTTTATTAAATAAAGTAAACAAAAATTGTTTAAATAATTGAGACCGATATCTCATTATATGATATAATAAGTTATTTTAAAATGCTTCTAATTTCTGTAAAATGAACAGTGTAAACAGTTGCCAGGTGTGTAATAAAAGTCATTTTTTCCTAAGAGTTATTTACACCTTTATTAGGGTTTAGGCAGTGCTATTAGTAACATAAATATTAAAATCCCGAATGTAAAATGCAGACAAAAAAAAAAGATATTTAATGAAGTAAGACTGTTAGTTTTTTTGTTTTGTTTTTTTTTAATTTTATTTTTTAAAATTGTATAATGGAAAGTCTCAAATTTAAATTAAATTAATTAAAATTTTATATTTAATGTGCTCTAATATTATTTGAAAAACCTTTTTAAAAATAGAATTTTCCTCAAGAAAATTTGAAAAACCTAACCTTTTCAAAATAAGTAATTTCCACAAGAAAATATAAAAAATCTTTAATAAAACCTTATTCTGAAAATCTTGCTACACATACAATAACTAATCTTTCTGTTAGAAAATAAATACAAATTATATAATAAACTTAATGGTGTCAGTAGTTTAGTAAAAAATACCACTCGTACCATTCGTACCACTCGCACATCTATATACAGTACCACTTAATAAAAAAGACACTTTATAGGAATTATTATTAAAGGAAACTTATATACAGATATCCAAATATGTAACAACTATTTAACTAAGTGCTGTTTAATTCATTGAACTGAGATCTTCTTGCGGTAGTGGTGTAGTGGTAGAGCGCTCGCTTCATAAACGAGTGGTTCCGAGTTCGATCCCCACCACGTCCCTGGTAGTACCGCGCTCAACTCGTTTCTCCGCGCAGCGGCCTTGTTCGTCCAGGTTCGTGTTTCGGAGTTATAGAGTTGAGAGAGGGTTATAGCCACAAAATAAGTAGCCTCCTCGTCTGTAGTGGCCTTCTCGGCCTTGAGGAGGTGAAGTAAAATAAAAAAAAAAAAAAAAAAAAAAAAACAAGCGCGTTACCAGTGTACCACGACCGCATTTAATATAACAATATTTTGATCAATTGATTTTAAATGAGGAGGGGGGAGTTATTTAGTAAGTTAGTAGTTTTGTCAAGACTCGTACGTGACTTGCAACTAAAGAATTACGATGTTATGACAACGAAGGTCAAAAACGGTCGCAAACTGAGTAATTTAATTTATGAAATTTATATATAATGTAAAAAATTTAATATTAAAAAATTTTTGAAAAGTTTTCTAATAATTCCAAGTCTTAACTGAAACAGACTTAACAAAAAAGACTTCTTTACAAAACAAATCTGTTTTGTATTGAAAAATGTTTGAAAAAACATTTTTCAATACAAAACCTCAAAAAGTTAATTGTAATTGGAATAGTGGACCACACTTAAATATTAGGATGGTAGCACTAAGGATTCAAAAAGTACATACAAATCCATAAAGTATGTACTCTCTGGTCAAAACGCGTACGAAAGCGTATGGTGGAGGGTTCAATATGAAAGTGTTTTTTTTTAAGTTTTTCTTTTCGTATAAACATTTTTTTATTAAAATTGAAACGGACAGAGTAAGGTTGGTCTGTAATGACACTTTATTACTTTATTATTACTTTAAGTCAATGATTTGAGGAGGTTGGTTTCCGACTAGCCCTTCGTTGGCGATCCTCTTTTGTTGCTTTCCATCTCGCAAGTCTGTTTCATTATATTTGGGCATTCTCTCGGCCGATTTTTTGGTAGTCTTGCGTAGTGAAGTATTAGCAAAATCTAGTTTCCAATAGGTCAACTATTTGAGGAGGTCGGTTATCCAACTGACCTTTCGTTAGCTTATGTGGCGACCCTAACTCAATGTTTTTACCTAAGTTTTCAAGATTTGTCTTATTAACCCAATTAAAACTTAAAAACTTTCCAATTTCGAAAACTACTTAACTTTATCTGAATAATTTATTTTACTTAACTTAATCTGGGCAACTTGTTTTATTTTATACTTGTGAGATCATTTTTTTAATACCATATTCGATAAACTCTCGTAAACTAATAATTAATAAGCTTGTAAACTTGCAATGCTTTTAATAATATTTGATTTTAAATCACGGTCTTTTGTAATAACATTTTAATCAATACCCCTCCTCTCCTCGTATCACAGAACCGACTTTATTTAAGGTTCGCGTATTATTTACCGACCAATCACTTCATCTACCAATCAACTTGCACTTTTATTTACCAATCACATATAAATTTGGTAAAACTTATCACAAAGATCATATCTTATTATCATTCTATTCTTCACCTTTTAACCGCAAAAATACGTCATACATCATTGTTGTACTTTTTAACTTGAACTTTAATTATCTGTTCATTCACGCTAACAATCAACTTCAGTTTTATCAGCACGGTAATAGGCTGTTCACACGAGGGTACATTTGATGGAACATTCCGTGGAACATGGAACATGAACAAATATCCTCTCGTGTGAACGCAAACGGAACAAAAATTCAAGGAACATTTGAGGAACTTTTGTACCGTCCCGCCAACCCAGAACAAATAAATGTTCCGGAACATTTATTTGGTTTTGTATAAAAAATGGTGCCTATTTTCAACTATTTTTAAAATAAGCGTATGCATATAAGCTAAATGATTCAATAAAAATACATTGCAAGATGCAAATTTGTTGTAAAAGTAACTCAAACTATTTTTTTTACAAAGTTGTTGTCATCTTAACCAGAGTTTTTAGTCCTTGATCTCTGCATTGTCCTAGGTCTTGGTCATATATCAAGACAAGATTATCGATATACTATTTGCCTTTCAACATGTTGCCTTGAAACTTTTAGTTTTTGCCTTCCATCTTTTTTATTTAATTCAAAACATTTCTTTAAATATAATTTCATATATTTATCCATTGAGTAAAAACTTGTGGTAATTTCATGCAACCAAAGAAATTCCGATCCCACTCGTGTGGGATCAATCATGAGTAGACCAGATGGTGGGCAATTGTTTAAAAAACAATTATTTGACCATCACAAATTTCAAGTTATTTCTAACGATATTTAAAATTTGTATAAATAGAATAGAAATTTAATTATTAGTATATTATTAATTTAAAAAGAAGTTATATATGTGTGTTTAAAAACTTAATCTTAAAATATAACATTACAAAGACAGTATTATTCTTATTAAGATCAGTTTTAATTTGAATTAACAAGAAGTATAATTCAAGGTAACATTTAACTTGCGTTAAGAAAGTTTAATTTTCATTGTTTAATAGTTTTTATTTAATTATATTCTTTGCAAGCATTGCTATTAATGCATTTTTAATAAACTTATAGTAATTTTATTTATAAAATTCAACTTTGAACTAATAAGCAGATTTGTTTATCATTGGCCTTGCCAACAGTGATAATAATAATAAAAATAATAATTATTATTTTAATAATAATTATAATAATAGAATAATAATAGTAATAATAATGATAAAAATAACAACAATAACAATTGTTAATATTATTATCATTATTATCATCATTGTTATTATTACTTATATTAACATTATTATTGATATTATTATTGGTATATATTGTTATATATGAGCTTTGTCATATATTTTATTTATATGTCATATATATTTTATTATATTAGCTTTATCTTATCTTGTTATTTTAATTTGTGAACATTACCATTAGTATTTTCCTCATAAATATTCTGTATTTACTTAATATTAGTTATTTTACTGTTTGTGAATAATTGTGAAAATAAGATCTTTATTCAGAATATATATTATTGATTGACTGTATTGATATGACTGTACCTTATATCTTTGCCACAATGTACTACAATTATTGACATTTAAAAATAAAAATAAACAATAGTGTTGAAAGATCAATGTTATTAAATAACATAATTATCACATTGCATGGAAAAGTAAAAAAAAGTAAAAGTAGCATCTGAAATATTCTGTTCTCTTGGCTACCAGTTTTTGAAAATTTATTAAATTATTTAGTAAGCCCATAACATTATTAAATTATTTTAAGCCCATAACATTTATAGCAATTATGAAGTTTAACCTTTAATTTTATTATTAACTATTTCTCTTCTTTTTGTTGTTGTTGTTGTTATTGTTGCAAGATTTAATGTACTTATCCTTTTTAGTAGGTATAACTTTAATTTTACACAATGTCTCAGCATTCAGAAAAAGAGTGTATTGACGCTAGCACAACAAATATTGGTCTTTGCACATCTCCTTTAAATAAATTTGTATGGAATATGGCTAACACAAGAGTATTATTAGATTTATGGAAAGATAATTACAATGCATTAACATCTGCAAGAAGAAACACAAATATTTACAAACAAATGGCAGCTGAATTTTCAAACACATTTAATATCGTACCTCCGTTAACTGGATATCAAATTCAATCTAAAATTAGTAATTTGAGGAAACAATTTAGGTATGTACATATTCTACATTTAATGTTTGATACCTTACTGAAATACTGAAAGTATTTTACAAAACTAACCATGTGTAATAAAATCTAATTGCAATTTAGTTTATAACTGAGTGTTATATTAAAAATTACTTAAATCTTATTCAGTATTAAAGATTTACAGCTCGGTGATAATTATTTTGTTAATATTTTGTTATTTTATTATTCGTTAAAAATTCGTTAATTTTGTTAATAATTATTTTGTTAATAATAATTTGTCCATTTAAAGTTATTTGATTAATGTTATACGGTGTTAATGATGTGCTTATATTTACTTATATTTATGTATATTTTTCATAGACGAGAAAAACTTCAAGTTGGTTCATCGGGAGGAGCTCCTAGTAAATGGTGGCCTTACGATATTGTTGCCAAAATAATAGGTGGTGAAGCTTCCCTTGACAATGACCTTTTATCTCAAAGTCAAAACTTTTCTACTCAAGATTTTCAAGATGGTCAGGTAAGTTTAGTATAATTTATTGTTGTATTTTTTAAAGTGCTATATATTTTTAAAGTAATGTAAACAAGCATGTTAACTATTTCTAAAAAATAAGGTTTAAGAGGTTCTTAGTTTTGCAACATTCGGCAGACTTAAAACATAAAGATCAAAAACATATAATATAAAGTTTTTGAATTATAAAAGGGATATTTGTAAAATGCTATTGTCTAAATAGATCCTTTTTGTTTAGGGAAGGAAGGGAGTAAAATGACTTCAAGTCAAGTCTTTCAAAGTCAAGAGATAAATTTTGATTGAAACATGATTTATAATAATTTCTCAAATGTGTAATTTTTTTAATGTGTATATTTTATTTACAGATTGCCACAATGGAAGATGGCAAGAAGACTGTCAGTATTTTAAATACTGAAGCTTTGGACGATACAAGCGATGTGCAATCAATTGTCACTATTCCTGATGAGGAACCAACTCAATCTACATCCGGCTGCAATAAACGGAGGAGCTCTGATGATGAAAAAACTTTGAATAAAATAGCAAAAACTGAACCGGTGAGAAAAAATAAAAAAACAAATTTTTTTTCTGAGTATTTAAAATTAGCAAATAAAAATCTAGATGTTCAAATCCGTTCACAAGAGCTACGAATCAGAGAGGTTGTTGCTTTAAAGCGTATTTGCGATGCAATTGAAAATGCACCTAAAGCCCAAGTAGATGTGTCTAAAGCCCAAGTAGAATATTATAAATTTTTAATAAAAAAATAAGGTGTTCTATTAGTCAAGATATCTTTTTAGTAATTATGTTAAAGTTGAAAGGTCAGTATTTTTTCAACAGTATACCTTGTTTACAATTCTATGCAATATATATTTCATAAGGTTTTTCAATGTTTTAACTAAAGAGATGGTTAGTGAAATATTGTACAAGCTTGTAGATGAAGCTCTACTTATATATATTTTTTCATGTTACCATATTACTATTATCAAAGGAATTTTTACTTTATATAAAATAAAAATATTTTGTGATTTCAAGCATTAAAATGCATGTCTGGTGGTATTTTTTTAATTTGTCATGTTATTTTATAAATACCTTTTCTTGTATCTCTATGCTATATATATTAAGTATTTTTACCAAATAATTTTTTTTTTGCATTATGAAGCAAGCCTGTAGATGAATTATAGTGATATGTTTTTTGCCAACGTGTTTTGTTTTTAATTTATACATATTGCATTACACGTTTCATTTTTGTTTTTGTTAACAGATCATGCTGTATCAATTCTAACAAAATGGCTTTTAAAAATGTGTTTTAATTTCCCTTAAATTGTAATATAATAAGTATTATATTTATTTAATATATTTATATAGTTTTAATAGTTTTTTAGGTAGACATTGGTAAAGAAAAAAGCTATTGGAAAAACATGGAAAGCGTTTTGGCCGTACTTCGATTAAGAAGAAAAACATTAATCAATGATGAATCAATCACCCACCCATTTTTATATTTAGATTTAGCTTCCTTTTAGTTAAATCAACAAGGGTATCTGATTGAAAGAAAAGTTTGGGTTAGGCCAAAAAGTTCTCAATGGTTTAATGAGACTTTTACTCAAATGGAGTAATGTGAATTTAAAGAGCAATTTCGAGTAAATCGTAACACATTTAATTTCCTAGTTAATGAATTGCATCCACATTTAGGCAAAACTACCACAACTATGCGAGAACCTGTTTCAGTAGTAAAACGTGTTGCAGTTGCATTACATTATCTAGCTTCATGTGAAGAGTATCGTGTTGTGTCTAGCCTTTTTGACATAGGAAAGTCAACAGCAAATTTAATTGTTCATGAATTTATTAATGCTGTTAATGACATTTTGCTCCCTAAATATGTTAAATTTCCATTGTCAGTGGAAAATTTAAATAAACATAGAAGAGATTTCGAAGCTATTCTTGGTTTTCCACAATGCGTTGGAGCTGTTGATAGATGCCACATCCCTATTTCAGCCCCTAAAGATCAAGCAACTTCTTATTATAATTATAAAGGGTGGTATTCAATTGTACTTTTTGCAGTTGTAGACAGTCGATACCGTTTCATTTATACAAGTGATGGATCGCCTGGTAGAAATAATGACAGCTATATTTTGCAGAATTCTTCTTTGAAAAAAATTTTAGAATCAAATCTATTTGATAAATGTTGTAAAGAGCTGGGCGATTCTCTTGTTCCACTATGTTTGATAGGTGATTCAGCATTTCCTTTAACGCGTCATTTGTTAAAACCTTATCCTGAAAATTTGAAGCTTAGTGAAATTCAAAAAAATTTCAACAAAATACTTTGCGGAGCTAGAAGAGTAGTTGAGAATGCCTTTGGGCGCGTTAAAGCTCGATTCCGTGTAATTTGCAAACGTATGGAATGCGATACTAACTTTGCTACAAGAACTGTTAATGCTTGCGTCACTCTTCACAACATTTGTGAATATTATGACGATAATATTATAATAGAATGGCTTCTGCATCATCATGATGACAGTCTAGCTCAACCCAATACAGTTTCTACAACTGGGAATAATGGACCAGGAAAAAATGTTCGTGACTCAATTGCTAAATACCTTTATGAAAGGGACAAGTAAAGTAGTAATAATATCATTTTATTTATAAAGTAGTAATAATATCATTTATTATTTAAAGTTTTAGCTGTAATATGGTTATGTATTTAGTAGTTTTGAACTAAACTTACTTTCCTTGAGGTTATCAAATGTGTCTAAATAAATAAATATTAAATATGTATGAACACAAAATGAGATTAGTTTTAACTGGTCGTGGGTAACATATTAATGTATAATATGTTTATTCGGTACTATACCACTGATGGACTACTATTCTGTGTCGTCAAAAGCGACTAAAGGAGATATGACCTATCCATAAAAGCCAAGAAACGGGATAACAAAATTCCAACGTCACCTTTTGTATGGCGGGTTTTTTGGGTTGGGTTTCTATTGTCTAACTCTGAGCTAGCTGAACCCTCAGCGTTATTTGCATTTAGTTTTACCTCTCATAAATGAATAAATAATAAAAATTAATAAATTATATTAACAATGTGTATTTGCCAAACTGTTTTTCACTAATTTTTATTCGAGTTTTACTTACCGTTTTTTTACTCGTTTTTTCTTTTATGTACCGTCAAGCCAATTTTACATGTGAACGCTACAAGTAACATTTTGTGGAACATTTTGTTCCAGGAACATTTGTTCCGGAATAATGTTCCGCCGAACATCGCTAGTGTGAACATGGTATAAGTTTTTATCGTTTTTATCGTTTAATTTTTTAATTCTTTTTTACGTTTACGTTTTTGTACGTTTTTGTTAATAATTTGTTAAATATTATTGGAGCATTGTTCATTAATACATTTTCATGTCCTGTATTTAGAATTCAAAAAAATGTATGAAAGGTCTGGTTAGTTTCTGTGTTTAGCATCTTTTTTTGACCATTTACCTAATATGTTTTTTATTTACAAAACGACAAAATTGTTAAACATAAGTAAATTACAAAGGCTTTTTATAGATAGAATTAATTTATACAAATATGTCTAAGTAATAAACGCTCACTAAGTATGTTTAATTTTTTTTCTATTGCCTTAAAACGACATTTTGCGCAATACTTCTATTATATCTTAAATGGTTTTTTTATGGAACAAAGATAGGGTATTTGGCTAAGCTGTAGAGGTACTAAAGTCTTTAAGTAGGTAAGTATGTCCTCTCAATTGTTGCAATTTTAAAAGGTAGATGGTGGGTTTTACTTTCTTGTTTTGAGAATGATACCCCGAAAGGAACGACTATTAAAGCATTCGAAACGTCACGTTAAATCCTTGTATGGGTTTATACTGATAATACGGATAATACCTGACGAGAATATGGTATTTACTACTTAATTTACAATTTCTTTTTGACGCTGATGTTTGTTTTTTTAATACTCTTTCTAAATGCAATTCTGCGCGTACTTACCTTATTTAATATGTGTTTATTATCGATGTTTGCTATAATGCTGTTGTTGTGCTTTATCTATAATAAATTGAGTAATATTATATTAATTGGTTATTACCACAACGCTATCCTTACAACAACAATGGCAATCATAATTGTTTTTTTGTTTTGTTTTAACATTTAAAATACTTATGGTTCACCTATCATAGCCAGATTTCTTATTTTTTTCTATATAATTTATCCATTTATTAATGCAAATTTTTACGCAAGCACGTGAAAATAAATTCTGTTGTTTCTTTTATGTAAGTAAACGGTTGAAAGTGTAATACCTGCTACATGTACCAAAATTGCTATGGGTCTCAAGCGTTCAAAAATAAACAAACTAATTTTAGACTAAAAGAATTGTACTGTAAAAATTAGTTAAAACAGATAAAAAATTAAACAAAAAAACGAGTATTTTGACATATAAAGTAAATTAAAAGTAAAACGATTAAGCCGCGTTAATTAAATTTAATTATAAAATATAAAACAAACGGGCTCACCGTATAAACGTAATTTCGATATAAATAAAAGCTAAATAATTTCAATAAACTGTATATAATTAAAATTAATATAAACTAAAAACAAAACGAATAACATCACTAAACCGTATAACTGGAATAAAATAAATTTAATATAAACGAATAATATACGGTATTGATTTAAACTTAATTTAATGCTAAAACTAAATGCTAAAGGAATAACCCAGTAAGCACATGAACGTTTTAAAAACGTTTTTTTAACTAAGAAAAAAAACCTTTTTTAAACGTTCTGAATGGCAATACCTAAAAAACGTTTTTAAAAAAGCGTTTCAAAAACGTTTTTAAAAAAGCGTTTAAAAAACGTTATGAAAAAGTCGTTTAAAAAACGTTCTAAAAAATTACGTTTAAAAAACAATCTCAAATAACCTAAATAAAACCATAACTTAGGCGTCTTTTAAACTTTTAAAAGACGTTATTTTTTAGAAAATATTCCCAAATCCATAGGTACTATTATTAAATTGTTTTTAAAAAACAAGAAAAATAAAAAATTTATTTAAAAGTTATTTTTAAATTTATTTTTTAAAACAATTTACAAACAAAGTAATATTATAACGATAAATTTAAGGCACTTTAAGACAAGCAAAAGTTGCCCGTTTTCACGAATCAGCAATTATTGCATCGACAATCGACTCTGTGTATGATTCGTGAGAAGTCGATGCACAAACTAAAAGAAAAAACTATATATTTAAAACAGACAATCTGAACAGTAATAATAGTATTATAGTATAATAATAATATATAATATAATAATAATAGTAATAAGTTTTTAAATTACAAATATATGTTTTAAAAATATATATATACAACTTCACATTGCATATATATATATATATATATTATATATATATATATATATATATATATATATATATATATATATATAATATGTATATACAAAAATTATATATATATATATATATATATATATATATATATATATATATATATATATATATATATATATATATACACAGTGCTTGAAGAGGAGAAAAAAAAGAAACAGGTTAGTATTCGGTAAATTAGAAATACAATCCCGCCTAATAATTGTTATATATAGATTTATATATATATATATATATATATATATATATATATATATATATATATATATATATATATATATATATATATATATATATATATATATATATATATATGTTATATATATATATATATATTTATATATATATATATATATATATATATATATATATATATATATATATATATATATATATATTTATATATATATATATATATATTTATATATATATATATATATATATATATATATATATATATATATATATATATATATATATATATATATATATATATATATGTATATATATATATATATATATATATATATATATATATATATATATATATAAACGTACCTTTTATTAAGTTGTATAGCTTAGTTAGGCTAAAAAGATCCTTTGCCTTTTCCAGCTGCCACATTAGATTAGGCCATGAGCGAGTTTGTCATAAATCAAAAAATAATATATTTTAATAATATTATATCTTATAATTTATGAAATTATAATTAACTACTGTATTTAAATTTTTTTTTTTTTATATAAAATCTAAATGTAATTAAACATTTAGATTTTAATTTAACGATACAGTTTATCTATTATTTAAATCTAATCTATTATTTAAAAAGTAGCACACTAACTGTTAATATAGTCCAGATCATAAGTGTACACTTACCATTAGTGTAGTCATATATATGAGTATTATCTGGGTTAAAAGAATTATCTGGACTAAAGTTTAAAGCTATAGGATAACCTATAGCTTTAAACTTGCAAACTGGTAAAAGTGTAAATTGGCATAAGTGCGCCAAACAGGTTAGCAAACAATACGAATAAGCATAAGTGCAAAATTTGATTATTTAAAACAGTAACAAAAACTGGCAGATGTGCGAACTGACATAAATGCGTGTAATAAATTCGCAGTTTGGAATTATGCTAAATTTTGCAAATTTATTTGGCACACTTATGCCAGTTCGCATTTATGTTGTTTGCACTTTTGCGAGTTTTTGCAACTGCTTCACACTTATACCAGTTCCCACTTGTGGCAATTCACACTTATGCGAATGTTTGTAAATCTATTTAGCGCACTTATGCCAATTTACACATATGCCAGTTTGCACTTATAGCAGTTTGCAATTATGCCAATTTGGAATTCTTTTTGTGCAGTTATGCCCATTTGCACTTGTGCCATTTGGCATTGTGCCAGTTTTTGTAACTGCTTCGCACATGTGCTAGTTTGCGCGTATAAAATTCATGGTTATTCAGTCATCCCATTATGGTAAAACAGCTAACGTAGAGCCATGCATGGGATTTGTATAATGGATTGTAAGATGGGAGTAATATCATTATAAAATTAAACAGAGTATTTATAGGAATGCACTTTTAATTTACTACAAGTTTTTGACAGTTCTTACCACTAATATTTTGAATTCTTTGTTTCTAATAGAAAGAAATAATAGAAATCTGACAATTCCTAATTAAGTAGTAAAAATTATATATTGTAAAGAAAATTAAAAAAAAAAGAAAAATCTGTCAAATCAGTATTTAGCAATTTACAACTGCAGAGATACTACTGAGTTACTAGATGAAACATTGTCAAGTGCTGAGTCAAACTTATCAAATTCTATTATGCTGTTCATTTCAGTTACTACTTTTTCTTCACACTATTTTATATTAAGTTTTTTGCATCCTTGGGTTTTTATCTCATTTAAGAGAAGCAACACATAATATTGAAAGTCTAAACAAATTTACACTAATTAAATTTTACATTGTCTTAACTAAACTATGTAAATAAATTTAAAATACATAAATTTAACAATTTAACAACTTTACTGGTCTAAGCCTAAATCAAAGAAAAACTAATAGACAGTAAAATATCTAATAGTGGCAATGCTATATTATATATATTAGCATTTTTTTCAGATTTCGGATTAGACAAGAAAGATTGTTCCATAGATTTATAGTTTTGATAATATTGAAATAATGGATTTCATGAAGGTGATTATTTAAAGTTAAAATTGGAACCTCATCATTTTAATGATATTTTTTAATATTGACAGTCATGTTAGCATTTTACAACAAACATTACATTATTATTTTTAACTAAAGACTTACTTGCTTGAGATAATGGAAATCCATAATGTTTATCCTTTTTATTTAAAGATGATGAAGATTGATGTGTCTTAAAATGAATCTCTTGATCATCACAATCAATATCATCTTTGTTTATTATTTTTTGACCCACACAACACAAACATAGAGAATATTTGAATTTCATCTAACAACTTGTCTTCTCATGTAGCAATTTTACAATTAAAAATTTTTTACAAATTACTTTACAGATTATTAACTTTATAAGTAAAATAGGGTATATAGTATGGTATATAATATTATAGGTTTCATACTGCTAAACATTTGGTAATAACACCAGAATATCATTAAAGAATAAAAATTTTAAAATGACATTTTGAAGTAAGTCACTCCCTTTCTTGAAACAAATCATCATATTTTTTCCTTTCAGCCTTTTTTAATTATAGTAATTCTTTTATAAAAACCACTGATATTATTTTTAATTTTTAGAGTTAAAGAAGAAAAATTCTGAGAATGTTGTTCCCTTTTCTCAAATTCAAATAGATTTTTTTGCGTTAAAAGCAGTTGAAAATTAAGTAGAATTAAAAACTTAATCTAGTTTCTTTAAGCATTCAAGTTTACTCAACAATTAAGTTACTTATTAGAGTAAAATAATCTAGCTAACCACACCATTAAAACTTTATTAATCATATCTACTTGATTCAAGTAGAAATACAAACACAACCTAGTTTCAACGAAGGCATACAACTTTAAACTAAAAATACTCCAATATATTTTCAAATTTAATTCTACAAAAAAACAATACAAACACTTGGTTGATTTAAATATATACTAATTTATATAATTTTTACTTAAATAAATCAATTCGCCTAATTGAAGGTCACGCCATTATTTGAGTAAACATACTCTTTTAAATATTGCCGTGCTGTACGTTTAAAAAAGTTTTTTTATCACGTTAAAAAAACGTTTTAAAAACGTTCATAAGCTAACTGAGAAATTTCGTAAGTTAATAAAAAAAAATAAAACGTTTTAAAAATGCTAAAAAAACGTTTAAATTAACATTAAAAAAAACGTTTGCAAAGAAACGTTTTAAAAACGATTGTATTGGTTCTTTTAACGTCCGACCGTAAATTGAACGGAATTAAAACGTTTTAAAAACGTCCTGTGCTTACTGGGAACTATAATGTTAATTTGTGTATAAACTCAATATAAAACAAGTGAAATAAGAAATTAAATATGAAACGAATTATTTTACTAATAACCGCATAAATTAAACTAAGTTAAAAATTACACCATATATTTTTTACTTTAATATACAAAAGTTAATAATAATGTAAATATAAAACGAAGAACCGCATTAAACCATATTAACTATATGGAAATTAAGCATAACACGAACAACTTCTAACCATATCAATATTACCTTTTTGAACCATACCATGAGTCATATCAGTTGAACTAAGTAGAAACTACCCAGTAAGCACATGAACGTTTTTAAAACGTTTTTTTAACTTTAAAAAAAAAACGTTTTTTAAACGTTCAGAATGGCAATACCAAAAAACGTTTTTGAAAAAGCGTTTAAAAAACGTTTTTAAAAAGTCGTTCAAAAAAACGTTCTAAAAAAAACGTTTAAAAAATGTCCTTAAATAACCCAAATTAAACCTAAAAAAACTTCTTTTGAACGTTTAAAAGACGTTCTTTTTCAGAAAATATTGCCAAATCCATTGTTACTAATATTAAATTGTTTAAAAGATTATGTTGGTTAAAAAAACAAAAAAAATAAATAATTTATTTAAAAGTTATTTTTAAATTTATTTCCTAAAACAATTTACAAACAAAGTAATATCGTAACAATGGTATCTGATGGATTTAAGGCACTTTAACACAAGCAAAAAGTTGCCTGCTTTAACGAATCAGTATTTATCGTATCGACAATCGACTCAGTGTATGATTCGTGAGCAGTCGATGCACAAACTAAAAGAATAAACTATATATTTAACAGAAAATAATATGATAAATCTGAACAGTAATAATAGGACTATAGTATAGTAATAATAACAGTAATAAGTTTTTAAATTAGAAATGTTTTAATATATATATATATATATATATATATATATATATATATATATATATATATATATATATATATATATATATATATATATATATGTATATATATATATTAGGGTGGCTCTTAAAACAACTTTTTAAGAAAAACCTGCTCCCACCCCCTGAATGTGTTCTATCTAATACAAAAACACTAGGCTTAAAACATTTTTTGAATAAAAAATATTTTAAGGGGTCCCTCAAGACCCTAAAATGATTAATGGTTCCCTCATATTTAAAAAAAAAGTTATTCAAAAATATGTCAACCTGGTACTCCAATGAAGCAAAATTATATAAAAATTTCAAAAATAATAATCATTTTTGCAAAATTTATCTTTTTGGTTTTATTACTTAAAAAATTTTTCGACAAAAAATTGTGTTTTTTGACAAAAAATTATGTTTTTTGACAAAAAATTATGTTTTTTGACAAAAAATTATGTTTTTTGACAAAAAATGAAAAAAATATGGACAACTGCTATTTGTGCTTTTTGTCAATGACTATCCAGATAGCATTAGCAATTATACCAACTTTTACGCCGATGATAGCAAGATCATAGGAATTATAAATAATAATCAATCATTCTCTGATAATGAAATACTACCAAATAATGGACATTGACAACGCTGTAAATAGGTCACATAAATGGCTTATGCACTTCAACATCGAGAAGTGCAAAGTAATGCACATTGGTTGCCGTAAAAATAAATCAACACATACCTATACCATGGCAGACATCAACGTTAACCGACATAACTTCTCTCCAACATGCATTGAGCGCGACCTTGGAGTACTAATATCCGACAACCTCAAAGTCAAAGCACAAGTAGAAGCAGCAGCTTCGGCCGGAAATTGAATGCTTGGTCGCCTCAAAAAGACATTTTGATGCTGTAGCCTCCAGCTTTGGAAGAAATTGTATCAGCTATACGTTCGACCGCATATAGAGTATTGTGTATAAGCCTGGTCTCCATACCTTAAATTGGAAATCGTCCTTCTCGAACGTGTGCAAAAACGTGAAAGTTATATCGTCGATTAAACATTTTAATTACAAAATACGACTACAACTACTAGATCTAACCACGCTGGAAGAACGCAGAAATCGCAGTGACCTTATACTGCAATACAAAATTGCTCATCCGTGACAAGAAGTTAAATTTTACATACAACAAGCCCAGCCTTTTTTGTTAAATTCACGATAAAATCTGAGGAGAAACAGCCGATTTTCAAAACCACAACTGATCAAAAGAAATTCAGAGCGTCAGCACTTCTTTACAAACCAAGTTACTAACCAATGGAACAAATTAGCTCAGAATGTAGTTGATGCACCGTACTGTGCACTTTTTTTAAAAAACACGTTTAAAATGCTGCTTCGACTGCAGCAATGTCCATTGTCAGCATAGGAAAGTCTCATGTGCTTCCCTTCATCAATTCAATCAAGAAGTTGTATTGATTACTGTAATAAAAAAAATTTAGATTTTTTTATGATAATTTTGATAAATAAGTTTAAATTTTTTTCAAATGAATATATTTTTAAAAACTTTTATATAATCTCGCTTCATTTGAGTACCAGGTTGATTTATTTAAAAAAAACTTTTTTGAAAATATTAGGTACCCATTAAATATTCAAGTGTCTTGAGGGACCCCTTAAAATATTTTTTATTCAAAAAATATTTAAACCTAGTGTTTTTGTATTAGATAGAACACATTTAGGGAGTAGGAGCAAGTTTTTTTCGAAAAAGCTGTTTTAAGGGCCACCCTAACATATATATATATATATATATATATATATATATATATATATATATATATATATATATATATATATATATATATATATATATATATATATATATATATATATATATATATATATATATATATATATATATATATATATATATATATATATATATATATATATATAAATATATATATATATATATATATATATATATATATATATATATATATATATATATATATATATATATATATATATATATATATATATATATATATATATATATATATATATATATATATATATATATTAGGGTATAGTGATTTTCAAAACAAACAAAAAAAAGTTAAAAAATAAATTTTCCTGAGACAAAAATCAATGTCTATTATTTATAAGAAGTAAAAGAACATTTTTTAGTAGAGTAAAAAAAAATTTTTTGATTTTGATGAGATCTTGAGGTTCCTCTTTGGATTCTAAATTCTTGACTAGTCCTAATGTTTTAGATTTTTTTTCTAAACCATATTAACCTTGAACTCAAAAAAAAAAAAAAAAACTGTTCGGTTTATAATTAATTATTTTTATCATAAAAAAACTTGGTAAAAAACATTTTCAAAAATATACTTAAAACCTCCGTTTTGTTAAAGGTGGGTTTTTATTAAAGACGGGTTCTTGTTAAAGATGGGTTAAAGACCGGTTTTTTATAAAAAAACAACACTTTTACTTTTCAGTTTTGAATCAAAACAAATATCGCTTTCGAACTTAACATATTCTTATTAAACATACCTTTTATTAAGTTGCATACCTTGGTTAGACTAAAAAGATCCTTTTCTCTTTTCCAGCTGCCATATTAAATTTGGCCATGAGTGAATTTGTCATAAAACTAAAAATACCATAACTTAATAATATTATATTTTGTAATTTATGAAATTATAATTAACTACTGTATTTAAAAATGTTTTTCTTTATCTCATAAAGTCTAAATGTTTAATTAAATTTAACGATACAGTTTATCTATTAATTATTATTATTTAAAAAATAGCACACTAACCATTAGTGTAGTCCAGATCATTAGTGTTCACTAACTATTAGTATAGTCATATATATGAATATTGTCTGGGTTAAAAGAATTGTCTGGACTAAAGTTTAAAGCTACAGGATAACCTATAGCTTTAAACTTGCAAACTGGCAAAAGTGTGAATTGGCATAAGTGCGCCAAACAAGTTTGCAAACATTACAAATGGGCATAAGTGCAAAATTTGAACAAGTACAAAACAGTAACAAAAACTAGCAGTAGTGCTAACTAACATAAGTGCCCGTAAAAAATTTGCAAACATTGGCATAAGTGCCAATTAGCATTTTGCCCTTATGCTAGTTTGCAGTTATGCCAGTTTGCACTTATGCTAATGTTTAGCACACTTATGCCAGTTCGCATTTATGTCGTTTGCACTTTTGCCAGTTTTTGCAACTGTTTTGCACTTATACCAGTTCCCACTTATGGCAATTCACACTTATGCCAATGTTTGTAAATCTATTTAGCGCACTTATGCCAATTCACACATATGCCAGTTAGCACTTACGCCAGT